TATGAATTCTGTTGAAAGTAATACAACAATATAGCTTTTGGACTGAGTCATGGCCGGTGGCCGTAAAGTTTGGGTCGGAGTGTGACAAGGAAAGTTTAGGAAAAAAGGAATAGAAACTTTTGTTTGCAATTTGAATGTGAAATCAGATTCCCTCTGGGAGCGTAGGATTTGTGCAGCGTGAAAACGAACTTTTTGCGTCGTGGAGTTCAACCCCTTCAGCACAAATTCAACAAGAATCCTTCGAGGAGCACCCAGAACGAGCGGACAAGGAGACGACAGAGCCCCAGAGCTGCAAGGAATCAACGGAAAAGGAACTGGAGCTTACAAGTAAGTGCCAAATATTTCCTTCTTGCCTTCACGAACCCTCTGTATAAGGACTTCGGCGAAGATATATAGTATCGTTCATTGCGAACAAATTGTTGTCTATTCGAGAAGAGTAGTTTTAAGTAACTATTTATTGAGAAAAACAATTATTCTGAACAACATTTTTTCAATCCACAATTCTCAACTAGGCCTATTTGGCCAAGCCAACCTATTAATATCCTACCGACTGCGCCAATTAAATGATTGGAACGAGAAAATAACTTTTTAAAAAGAATTCAATTTACAAACTAGAGACGACTGTCTCTTACGAGAGCTACAAACAGAATGATAATTAATATAATGTTAAATGGATGCTAACTGCATGTCGAGATAAAGGATTCCTGGAATATCTCTTACTCAGCTGAATCTCCGTGTGAATGGCCGTGTCGTGGGCACTATGACCACTTAACTGGCTCGAATAATGTAACAGACTGATAACAATTTACACATCTACTGCACATCTTGAGCGATGAGGGGCTTCACACCTGCCATGACCTAGTCCGGCAGCTGTACCTTAAAATGTCATCGATAAATTTCCATTTTTCAACAATACCATGGCAGCATTAACTAGCATGATGAAGCTACTAAAAGCTACGAGTCCGTGGGATGAGTCGTTTTATCTTTCAGTAGTTCGGACTTTCATTGTCTGATATTATATAAAACGATTTAAAATCCCGGTCATTTTAAATCTGTAATATATTTGAGAATATTCATTTAAATTATATGCTGTAAAAAGCAATATTGATCTTTATTGAATGCACAATTTATTTAAGGGTATCTAAATCGTTAAGGATTAATGCTGTATTGCTTAAAATCACTTTGTAAAAAAGTAAAGGATAAAAAATGGTTACTGTGGGTTATCTCTAAGAGGTAGACATATACCATCCGGACTTTTTTGTAGACCTTTTTAAGGTGTACAATACTGTAGCACATTATTTTGATCCATCTAGTAGGGTTCAGCTAGCGTTTGCAATGTAAGCGCAAAAAAAGTGTTTATTTACATCACATCAGAAGCCTCTAAAACTATCAGTGTTTCTCTACTATACTATGCATGTTATATACATCAAAATCTGTTGCCTAATTTTGAAGATCTGTTTGAGCTGATCCGACTGAAAATTCTCATTCTATTTACATTTTTATGTATATTTATATATTCTATTTATACACTGCAAATTACTTCAATATATGATATAAATAAATTATATTTGATTCTGATTCTGTTATCATTTCAGATATTAAAATCGAATATGATGAAACTGCAGGTGAAAATGAAATTGTCGGCAACGATTGCGACTTTTGGTCATTTTCTGAAACTTCAGCACTAGTCGAAGCGTATGGTCATCTTAGAAAATCTTTCGCCAAAGAAGGTCATGGACTTCAAACACGGAGTCAAATATCTAGTGAGTTGAGCTTGAAGAATATACATAGATCACCAGAAAGCTGTGAAAGTAAATGGGAGAGTCTGGTTCAAAAACATAATGGTGATCAAACAAATTACGAATTTCATGATGATGTTTGTAATGAACAGGATGAGGAGAGCACGGAACAAAGTAGCAAAAAGCACAAAGGAGATTGTGAATGTTACGAAAGAAAAATTGTGGAAAAGCAAAAAAGACATCGGGAGAGAATGGACATGATGAAAAGAAAATTGGATATCGAGGAAAGAAAACTTGCAGCTTTTGAAAAATACCTTGTTCATTTAAGCAATGAAAAAGAGTGATATTATTTTGACTAATAAAACCGTTGCATGAGGATCGCTTAAGAATTGTTTAGTGACGTCAACGGTCATCCAGATTTTTTCAAAAAAGTCATAACTGGTGACGAATCATGGGTATATGATTGTGCAATCGAAACCAAAGTCCAGTCGTCGCAATGAAAGAGTCCAGGAAAGCCAAGACCAAAAGAAGCACGTCTAGTTTGATCTAACCTCAAGGTTTTGCACAGTTTTCTTCGATTTCTGTGACTTAATGCATCATGAGTTCTTGCCACATAGTCGTACCTCATGGTAGAGCTTCAGCCACCGTATTCCCCAAATTTAGCCCCCTGCGACTTTTTCCTATTTCCAAGATTGGAGAGACCCATGAAAAGACGGAGTTTTGCTACGATTGAGAAGATAAAATCGAGTCGCTGAACAAGTGTATTATATCTGAGGGGGGCTTTCTTGAAGGGACAACATAGAAAATGATGGAAAAATTAATGAAAATCACCTCATTCAGAATCTCAACTGATGTGGATTTAAAGTCATGTTTTTTTGTGAAACATTTCTACGCTGACCAGACTAAAATTAAGTCATAATTGTAAGTTACTCTTTTCAGAGAATGAACCCTTTATGAATGATGACTTTATTTAGCAAAACCAAAATAATTATGGTGGCAAATAATACACATTTTTAATGAAAACATTTACTAATAAAAACAATAAGAAAAATAGTGAAATATCAAACATAGTTTAATATACAAACAATAAAACGTTTATTTATTAATCAGATCTTTTAATTATGTACAATATATATGACTGGAAAGGGTAAAGGAGAAAGGTATATATTCAGTCTCATAACATGTAAATGCCACAATATTTGTATACATCTGAAAGCACATAATTTTGGTATTTGAAGAACTATCCAGATAAAGTATCAAATCAAATGCATCCTCGACTCCTAAAAGAAGTTGAGGTCGCTTAAATAATATTTCTGTATTGAATAAAGACTTTTTTGGCCGTTTTTTGAAGAATTCATTCTTTTACTGAGTTCAAAGGATAATAATTTTCTTTTGATACCTGCTGTATGGATATATAATTCATATCAGGATACCTGAAATAATCCAAAGTACCATTGCATTTTTCTATCTTATATCCAAGAATACAAAGCCCATACAAGCTCAGAAGTGGCATTTTCGTGCAACCTAAACGTTTTAGTACTTACCCTGACCACTAGAGGGCGATAGCAGTACGATGTCAGTATTTAATGTGATTACCAATAGAACTTGGTAGAGGTTCCTACTTCGATATGATCCGGCCGACTGGTTGTTAGCGACTGTTGGCTACCCAATTCTGTTGATACATTAAATACTGATATCGTACTGCCACCGCCCTCTGGTGGCACGAAAATGGCACTTCTGGGCTTCTACGGGCTTTATATTCTTTGCCTTTGTATTGCTTATACAGTGTGTCCGTGAAGTATGGAATAAATTCTATATTTCCAAAACCAAAGGTCCATTTACAAAAACCTGAAACATGGCGATTTTTAATTTTAATATTCTACATTTTACAACAAAATTTCATTATACATGGTGATCCATATTAATGTGGTGACGTAATCGGTAATTGTTTTAAATGCAACACCCTGTATTTGGTGTCAGTTTTAGATAATCTGTAACGAGCTGATTCCGAAAAGGTAAGATAATTGGGGTCTAACGAACAGAATTTGAAAGATTTGCACTCAATACATTTTATTGATATCTGCTAAAAGTAGAAATTATTTATTAATTTATATTTTTTTCTAATGATTAATTTAACAATGGGAAAGTAATCCAGTAACAAATACATGACTGTATCTTAAATGTTCGAANACCAAATACAGGGTGTTGCATTTAAAAAAGATACCGATGACGTCATCACATTAATATGGGTCACTCTGTATAATGAAATTTTGTTGTAAGATGTAGAATATTAAGATTGAAAATCGACGTGTTTCAGGTTTTTGTAAGACAACCTTTGGTTTTGGAAATTTCGAATTTATTCCATGCTTTGCGGACACACTGTATAAAAAACCATCACTTGAGCAGTCCTGAACTACTGGACAACCCATGTTACAGGATATTTAAAACCTATCAGTCAATTTTGGACTTATTTCAACAATTTTTACAGTCTCTTATGATACTTTAAGATCTACACTATTTTGAAGTTGCTTGGTTATAATTTAAAGATAATCCTATAGGTATACTACTCACTACACAATTAGTCTTTTTCTGAACATTATCAATGACAGAGTTTCCATATTTCACTGTGGTACTCACAGCTCCCAGAAGTCCTTGCATTATCCTTTTCGAGGACGACCTCTGCAGCATGTCTTTCTCAACACTTGTGCTTTTTCCAATCAAAAACTGTAGGATCACCTTATTGAAATTTTCCGGATCCTCTTGGTGTGGAAAATGCTCAGTGCCATCTATCATCTTCAGGTAGAACTTGTCGCAATACTCTGTCGACTTGACAATTCCTTCCAACTTGACCAGCTGATCCTTGTTACCGGTTATGAGGATCACAGTTGTTGAGATATTGCCGGCACCTTCGTTGATTCTCAAGAAAGGTAGCTTTCGATAGTAATTAATGGGGCCCGTCCAGTCATCCTTTCTTGAGAAGGCGTATTTGTATGCCTCCAGGTAGACATCATTAGGAGCTAGATGTTTGTAATATTGGTCGATGATTTTAACGTCTTCTTTCAAGGCATCTATTTCTGGTAAGTAGGGAACCTGATCAGATAAAGTAACCCTTTAGTTCAATTCTGAAAAGATATTTTTCAACTAATTTCAATGTCTGAATTTAATTTGGAAATCAAGACATTTTGTGGTTTTCACATTACTTTCTGTCAATTTTGAAGTTTTAATGAAAGTGATTTGAAGTATACCCTACGATTTTACTGAATTGTAAATTTGGAACATCATAGAAAATATATATAGTGCTGTCTACATTCAGGTACCTATTAAAAGTTAATTTAGCCAACAGCCAATCCTCCTTTTTTTCATTGGCGGATGCTATGTAGTGACATCTTGTAGAGGTCTTTCAAACATGAAATCTCAAATGAATATTTGAAAAATCGAAGGCTTGATCAGTCACAATCTAAACAGGAATGGACTGCCAGGCCACTGGATTTCATTTGATGGTTGGGTCGCAGTATAATGATACAGTGTTCGGTATTAATAAATGGTTTATATTGAAACGGGTATACTTTTATTAGATATTAATTTTTTGGGAAAGGTTTTGACTGTATAGTTCTCAATCTTTAAACAAAAAAAGTGTGAATCACCAAAAAAAAGGAATAAATCAATTTCAAAATAAATTCTTTACAAACAAAGAATTAATGTCTCAAATTGTCAATAGTTTTAATCCTTTGGACATACCTATGTCAATAAAATGTTATTAAAAATGTTGCCAATGTGATTTCTGAGCTTTTGACTCGTATAGTTAACGCNTTTCAATTTTCTCTCTTACGCTCAATCTTGCAGCCATGACACAAAATAATTCGAAGAACTGTAAGGTGAATATTGTTGACAAAAGTACACTTAAATCTTTCACAAGTGTCAAACTGTAATATCATTTTCATGGCAATTAAGATTTAAATTGAAATATTAGGTCTTAGTTTTAGTTAATTTGCGGGAAAACTTGAATGTAATTCCGTTATTTTCATTAAAAATATTTATGCTATTTGTTTTTTTTTCATCTGGCGGTACTTTATTGTTGAAATCATAAAAAAAATATTCTCATGGCTATATCTGTTGATATAGGGTGTTTTTTGTGACTGTTAGCTGCTAAATTCTGCTAAATCTTAAAAGTTCAACTTTGTTACTAAAAATACAACAATTGATAAAAGCCATTTTGTTAGATTAAATAATGAAACTTTACATCAAGTTAATTGTACTAAATTCTTACATGTTGATAGTGATAATGAACTTACTTGGAAGTTCCATGTTTATAGTGTCAAACTAAAGCTCAGTAAACATATATATTTACTTTGCTGGTTAAAACAAACAGTCTCTCTTGATGTTATAGTTTATTATCAATGCCTAGTTTGTATATCTACCAAACTCTGATATATAGAAAAAACAATATTTCAATTTTTCCTAGAAATGAGCAAATCCATGAACATTTTACCAGAAATAACTCTCAACTACATAAACCTTGACAGATTGACAGTGTTAAAGAATCACCCCATGTGCTGTGTGGTTAAGCTATATAATTAGCTTAGTGGGGACATTAAATCCTCAAATATCAATGTCTTTAAAAGGCGACTCAAGATTTTTCAATTGCAAAAAGCATACCACTCTCCTTGAATCCTAATTGGACTGTAGCTTATTAACTTTTTTTCATGTATGTTTTACATTGACTTTTTTAAAGTTTGTTTGACCTGCGAATCAGCCAGTATTTTATGTTGATGTTATGTTTTGTTGTCTAATGTGACTGTGAAGGAAAACTGATTCAATAAATGTTTGATTGATTGATTGAAAGCTAATTACAATTGTAGGCGAAAGTTTTGAAGTGAATTTTGGGTTTTGAAAACGGAAAAAGATTGTTTTTCGAAAACTAAGTATAGACATTTTTGTTTTGCAATTGATGTTTTCCAATCTCACACTAAACTTTTTTTTAATACGTGACACCATATTCGAAATAGTTACCTGCACGAAATTGAGCCACTGGTAATTGCAGGTGTTACTCAAGTTCTGCCAGTAGACATTCGGGTGTGGACAGGAGACTGCGAAGAATTTGTTGACGAGTTCAGGCGTTTGATGCACCAAATACCAACCAATGAGTGCTCCTAGGTCGTGGCCAATGATGATACAATTTGACACGCCTAAAGCGTGAATGAAGTCTTTGATCTCCTCCAAGATTCTGTTGATTTGGTAACGACTTCTCCATACCTGAAGCATGTTAGTCGTTGTTAGACCATGTTGCAAAATGACGTATTAGTATCAATGAAGAACAGACAAAGTCGTATCCGGGGTTAAAAACGTGTTTTCCTTGGCAATTGAAGGTTTCTCTTGTGGTGGGCATCTTCAGCGGTGATTTGTACCCTGCTAGAGTTACGCTGGGTATATCTACGGTATCAGGGGAATAATAAATTGCTAAGGGTTGATAAGCCGCTGTAACCTCACGTATGAATTCTGTTGAAAGTAATACAACGATATAGCTTCTGGGCTGAGTCATGGCCGGTGGCCGTAAAGTTAGGGTCGGAGTATGACAAGGAAAGTTTAGGAAAAAAGGAATAGAAACTTTTGTTTGCAATTTGAATGTGAAATCAGATTCTCTCTGGGAGCGTAGGATTTGTGCAGCGTGAAAACGAACTTTTTGCGTCGTGGAGTTTCAACCCCTTCAGCACGAATTCAACAAGAATCCTTCGAGGACCACCCAGAACGAGCGGACAAGGAGACGACAGAGCCCCAGAGCTGCAAGGAATCAACGAAGAAGGAACTGTAAGTGCCAAATATTTCCTTCTTGCCTTCACGAACCCTCTGTATAAGGACTTCGGCGAAGATATATAGTATCGTTCATTGCGAACAAATTGTTGTCTATTCGAGAAGAGTAATTTTAAGTAACTATTTATTGAGAAAAACAATTATTTATTTATGAGTGAAATTGAAGATATTTTATCACGATTGAATAGTTTATCATTTCAAGAAAGTTCAGCAAATAATACTGAAAATTTTGATAATACTTTTCAACCCACAATGGTTCCACCAGTTCCACCCCAACCAACTCAAATAAATTGGAACCTTTTCAAATCTAGAATAAACAATTTAAAAACTTTTGNGGCCGTGAAGATAGAAAAAATAATAGTAGAAAACAATAAGCCCAATATTATTAAAGTGTTGTTTCCTTTCATTTGTATTGAATATTCCTATACATGGTAGATATGGTGGAAGACCAAGGAACTTGGTCCAAAGTAGAATAATTCCCATTATTATTTTTATAATTTATTTTTGTTTGTCCATACCCTAACGGGCATAAGCATTCAGCCAATCTTTGGATAGCTAAGTAAGGAAATTATTATATTACAGTAGTAACTAATTCCTCGGCTATTTTTTCGAAAGTTGGTAAATTCTGCTGGTGGGGTTGGGAAAATTTGGATTCCCTCCCTCCCCTGGTTTTTCTTTTCGCTACGGCCCTGTTTCCGACAATCCTCTGATGTAGGGAAGTTCAAGTACTGGCGGCTTCACTTCCTTGTGGAGCTCTTGGTGTCTTCTAGCTAGAGCTTGTTCCAACATCACTTTGGAGTAACCATTCCGTTGAAGGTCATTTTTGATGATGTCTAGTTCCCTTTCGAGACTTTCCTTTGTAATACAGAGCCTGAAAGCACGGTCTACTAGAGTCTTGATGATTCCTCTCTTAGTCGATTGGTGGTGGTTGGATTCGTGGTTCAGATACTGTCCCGTGTGAGTGGGTTTTCGATATACAGTGTCGGTCCTCACTTAGTGTCGGTCCTCTTCACCAATACATCTAAAAGTGGCCATTCGTTGTGGACTTCTTTCTCCATTTTGGAAGTAATGGAATTTCAGGGATTTCAAATCATTTTATATAATATCAGACAATGTCCGAACTAATGACATTCATCATGAAACATTGTTAATCACCTTCAAACAATCGTTTTATCTTGTCAATTGCTGGTTGCTCATTTGGTATTGCTTGACATTTATCGATAAATTTTCATTTTTCAACGAAAATTCTGTTATTAAGCATTACCATGAAAGCAACCAGCATAATAAAACCAATAAAACCAAGAGTTTCACTAGTTCGGACTTCCATTGTCTAATATATAAAATGATTCGAAATCCCTGAAACAACTAAAAAAGAAGAATTAAAAATGAATAGCTGAAAATAACAATTATATTAAGCAAAAATAACCTGAAATGAAATAATAGTGAAATGTAATGCGATTGAACAAAAAATAAAGAGATAAAAATGAAACTAAAATAAAGAGTTAACAGATATCAAGCCACGTTATTTCACGACGTTTCGATTGTTAGTATCCGCAATCGTCTTCGGATGATGACTGGACTAATTCCTCCGAGAGATTTATGGGTCGTTCGAGTACTTTCACTTATCCCCTCATTCCATTTTTTCCGCTTCACTAGTTCAGTGGGAGATGACCGTTTGGCGGCGCCAGGTTTTCAACCCTGAGTTTAATGCCTACCCTGCGGTAGGCATTATCAAAGGCGATGTGGTAACGATCGCTGCGTCCGAGTTGGTGCTCGATTTGTTGTTCCTGTTCCAAATGCGCTAACTACTATAACTTCGAAGGGTGAATAAACACCTTGAAGTCAACCAATCCATGAAGATTCTGCCAGAAGTCCATAAATCTTCTTGCCATTCAATGTTCAATCTTTGTTTAGCAAAGCCTGAAGCGATGCTAATGACAGGTCCTGTTCCGATGAAGCTGCTTGCAGCACTCTCCTTTGCAAGGCAGTCAGCAAGCAGCCTTATTGCTTTCCAGGCCAGTATGGCCAGGAATCCAGACCATAGAAGGGCCTATAGTTACTCACTATTGCTTTGTCTCCACTTTCGAAAAGTGGTTTTATTATTCCAATTTTGAATATTTTGAGTAAGCAGCCTTGCTGTAAACATTTGTTTTGATTTCGTTGACAATCGATTTGAGCTTTTCTGAGAGAATTCCATCCTGACCTGAAGATTTCTTTTGTTTTAATCCCATGGTAACTTTGTAAACCTCATCTTCATTAGTTTCTGATAGAATTATTGAAAAATAAAGTTTTGAAAAAGTAAATTGAAAATGAAGTAATCAGATTAATTCTTGGAATATTTTTATGAAAATAATAATTAGGTATACACGAACCGGCTTATCAGAATCTCCGAATCCCTTTAGATCTAAAGCGACCACTCGAAAATGTTGTGATAACACTGGAATCTGATACCTCCAGCTGAGCCAAAAATCTGGAAAACCATGTAGTAGTAGTATAAGAGGGCGTTCCTTGGAGCCAGATTCAACATAATGGAATTTTTCTCCCTGCAAACAAGAATATTAGACTTGAAGTTGAACTGGCAAAAACTGGTGCGAAATATTTGCTAATACATAAGTCAATAAAAATATTATTGGACAGTCAAGCGGCGTTGGACGCTTTTGGCTCCTACCGAGCAACGTCTGAACTGGTAGCAAATTGTCAAAAACGACTATCCTCGATAGGGAGACGTAACAGACTGTCTCTGGTCTCTGGATTCCTGGCCATACTGGCCTGGAATGCAACGAAGCTACTGAATCCCTTGCAAAGGAAAGTGCTGCAAGCAGCATCTGTCATTGGTATCCCTTTAGGCTTTGCCAAACAAAAATTGAAGACCTGGATGGCAAGGAGACTTATGGACTTCTGGCAGAATCTTCCAGTATTGGCTCACTCCAAGGCGTTTATTACCCCTTCGAAGCTTGATACCAAACAGTTGTTGGACTACAGTAGGAATGAACTTCGATGTCTAACAGGCCTTCTTACAGGTCACTGTCATTTGGAGCATCATATGCAGAGACGCGGACTGTCGGAAGACAGTGTGTGTCGCCTCTGTTTGGAAAATGATGAAACAACAGAGCATGTACTTTATGCCTGCCCCGCTGGGGACGGAATCAGCTTTTTGGAGTTCGGCAGAGCCTTACTTTTACCATCTGACCTGAAAGACCACTCACCATACAAACTAATTGGCGTTAAGAAGAAGATCCTTCTCTTGAAGATGATCAATTGGTGATCGAAACACGTGTCGAGATGTTGAAATAACGGTTTGGTGTTGGAAAATACTCCAGTAATATTCAGACGTAGCTTTAACAACATAGCCGTTATCAATTGTCAACGTTCGGAAGTTCTTGTTGGAAGACCCTATAATGGTTTGGTTTACGAATAACATTTCATCATTTCAACAAAAAGTGTAAGTGCAATTAATACTGGGAATTGCACCCCCTTGCCTTGATTGAAGATTCGATTCTTCGGCGTACTCTGAATAAGATTCGCAATTGTTCCCTGAGGAATATTGTTTCTTTCCCCAATAAAAGAATCACCTGAAGCAGCAAGCTTTTGTGGAACAATTCGGCGCCTTGTTCATCCCATAAAAACTCCATTGGGTTCATGTCTTGGCAGAGAGACGATCAAATAAAAGTGTTGTTGATTCGAAAAGAGCAACAGACATTGTGCACACTTTTGATAGTTCGACAAAAAAAGGACAAAAACACCTTTTGTCTGTCATCGGAAGGATTCAACCAAAACACCAGTAAGTGTATATACAAAAAGTTTGTTGACATTGAATATCAGTTTTGCCCGAAGTCCACACGAAACATTCCACTTGAAGTAAAAAAGGATTAAATTCAGATATACCGTTCGAAAACAAACATTTCTCATATTTTTAAATAAGCAGTGATAAGCCGAGAAACTGACCTTCAACTTGACGTATTTGTGTTGTCCAAGCCTGGAATCCACGAGGCATGAAGGTGGATTATCACGTGGCTGGATGTTGGTCAACCTTTGGGAATTCCATACCCCCTTCGCTAGCCGTTTAAAGATCACCCATACGCCGAATATACATGACAAACAATGAATTCTAATCGTATCACACACTGATATCGTCTGAATTCGGAATTCTTTCGCCATATCACTGCACCTCTCAACTGTATTGTTTGATATCGAATCGTTCCTGGGATGATCGTTTTGATCACTGATCAATGTGAAGTTGGCTTCAGTTTCCCGGCCATACTTTCCGACGTGGGGGGAAAGTCTTTCGTGGGATTAAGGGGCAAAGGCGGACGGTGTTGTCAGATTGTTTTTCTTTCTCAACTTCCTCCCAAACAATTTTCCTGATGAAGACCACAATTTTTTCAATACAATACGACAATATTCTGTTCAACATAAAAAGATACTCCACTTAAATACATTCTTCAGAAGACTATCAAATATATTCTATACAAGGGTTCAAAAAACAAAGTGAATATTCAAATTTCGCGGCCTATGTACGTTCGATTGTCAATTTTTTTATTTCCGCTTTTTTATTGGTTGGATCATGCTGCCATATTCTCTGTTTCGCTGTCACTGTCGTCATTTAAATCGATAATAAATTTATTTCCACCACTAATTTCAACTAAAATCACTTTTTGAATCCTTCTCTACCAGTCTTCTTCGGTTATATTAGATAATTCGTCTTTAATTAGCTCTATTACCTTCTTATCAAATTTTGGAAAATTATTTTCACGCCTGACGCGTTCGATGGGATTGAAAACACAAAAACAGCACTTCAAGAACTATTATACGAGAACGAGATCTTTTTTTTTCTTTTTTTTTTTCTTGCAGACATGTTAGGCGTACACATATTCGAACCATCAGTCCATTCTTTCGTAACTGTGCCGTAAATGTCATACCAAGTTTAGTCGTTGCCGTTGTTCTTGTCTATATTCAGTTATTTGTTTGTGTTATAAGTTTGTGTTACGCAATTCCACTATTTTTCTGCTTTCCATGACTGCTTGACGTTTGTTTATTATTTTGAATCTGAATCCTAGTTTCTTTATACAATTCTGAAGGGTTTTGTCACGGCAGCTCACGTTATGGCCGGAAGTAATCTTCTTCTTCCTTATGATTTCAGTTGTAGGAATCTCGTTGCTTTTGTAACAGTGGTATATTGTTTTTTCAATGAACATCTAAAGGTTTTGGTAATCCCGTATCACAACGCGTCTTCCGTTCATAAGGTTTGTTTTTGACTATTTTACGTACAGTTGAGAAACGAATTTCGGTCAAATCTGATATTGCTTGTAATAGTTTGTTTCTCTCGAAACCAAACTTGAGATGTGGATTCTTATATATATATATTGAAACGAACCCCTTTCAATATTCAAATCCATCCGAATTTTATTCACTGGTATCTCTTTTTCGCATTGTTCACCATCGCTATTGGAATCACTACACTGGAAAAAGTCTGCGTTATTATCACACCTGTTATTACTATTAGTACTTGTTCAAGGACGCCACATTTAAAACATATAACAACAATTTTGAGTGATTATAACTGCACCAATTTCAACAATCGCGATCAGTTCCTGAACTGAACACAACTGTGATAACCATCCCCGCATTTCCCGATTTCTATTCGTCACCGTAACATGACATCAAGTTTAATTTTATGACTCTTCAGCCAATCATTAAACTCGGTTAGTAAAAATCATCCAATACGAACCGCCAATTCTACGGTCCACGTGGACTAGTTTGCAGCCGGTTCATTTCTATGAATTAGTTTCTTTGGCCTTTGAGAGTGCCGCCAACTTTAAATGTGCACAATATCGTTTACTTCGACCTGCTCACTCGTCGTTGTTTGTTCGTAATTTTTTTACCGAAAACAACACTGTAATCATGCATCAGCCACCGTATTCACCAGATTTGTCTCTCTGCAACTTTCTCCTGTTCTCAAGATTGAAGAGACCAGTGAAAGGACGGCGTTTTTCGACGATTGAGAGGATGAAAATTGAATCGCTGAGACAGCTCAAGGGCATACCAAAAAGTGCATATTAAGACTCCTTCGATAGTTTGAAAAAAACGCCAGCGCAAGTGTATTATATCTGAAGGGGACTACTTTGGAGGATACAAAGTAGAAATTGATGAGTGAGAAAAATGAAAATTCAGCTTATATTTTTGAACAGATCTCGTATACAGGGTCGAATAAATCTGTTTGGCCTTGATAAGCAGGGAAAAATTATTTCTTGAAGTAAACTGTCAGAAATTTCGCGGGCCAAAACTTCTTGTTTTTCTTAAAAATGAAGGCATACATGGGCATATAGTAATTAATAAAAATGAACAATCCATTACGAAAGTACTCAACTAATAATAATCAAATTCATTTTTGCAGCAAAAACTTACACTCACTTTTGTTCGGTTTATATTTTGTATAATCGAACCCTCAATTCGCTGTAAAACTTGATATTAATGAATGAAAACATGTGTCGACAGCTTATCTAATTCGTAATAATATTAGTCACAGTAGTTGATAAAAAAAAATAACACCACTTTGCTAGACTGTGTTTTAACTTTGGACCCATTTGGTGATATTATGGAGTCATTATTCTCATAATTATTTTATCTGACACAAAATAAGTGTCAACAAATCACGAAATTCCAGCGAATCGGTATTTTTTTGAGGAGGCCTCGATAAATTTTCAGGTCGAGTGTTTTGTTTTAACGCGATTTCAATAAGTGATTAACAATCGGGTGAATCTAAGGTTTTTCCTCAGCTGAATCAGTATATTTATAATCATACAGTGCATTTCTTTATTAATGTCCTCTTCTCCTTTGATTTTTTTAACGAGTCAACTAAAAAAATTGAAATTTGGGATAATGAAATTAATGCATGAATACTTTATTTAGAAGTGAAATTGACAGATGAAACTTTCAAGATGGCGACTGGGCGCCTGTTGGGAAAAAATGGAAAGGGGGGGTCTTGTGGCACATCTTTTTGGAGCTTCTAACAAATGCTTCACAACTAATTCAAAATGGCGGAACTATTAATAATTGCTTGAATACATTGACGTTTAACTACATAATATGAGGTAATAAGCTTGAGGTCAGTTCAGAAGATGCTCGAAATGGTTGCCTTGAACTTCTTGACATATGAACAGCCTATCCGAAATTTCACGCCCAACATTTTCGAACACAGTAACGTCAATATCTCTACAAATATTTATTATTCTCCGTCGTATATCCAATATTGAAGCTGGCTCAGTTTCGTACACCTTTTGCTTCAAATATCCCCATGAAAAAAGTCCAAAGGTGTCAAATCTGACGAGCGGGCTGGCCATTCTGTAGGACCTCGACAGCCAATCCAACGACCGGGAAAAGTAGTATACAAATAGTATCTTACTTATCATGGGTAATGTGGTGATGCTCCATCTTGTTAGAATATTAGGATTCGCTTCGACGATTTCAGTGATGAGAGGGTCAACAGTGGTTTCCAGCATATTCAAATACAGTGTACCCTGTTAAATTTTGATCAATAAATAGAGGTCCGTATGGTTTCCCAAAATTCCTGCCCAAATGTTAATTTTTTTCTGGATATTGGGTTTGTGTTTCCCGGAAAACTTGATGTTCATTGTCGTACTGACATTTTTTGACGTTTTTATGAACAAAAAATAACTGTACAAACCTAATTGGATTGTTGGAATGGCCATATGGCAGATAAAAAGGAATATTTCTAGAAATATGGATATTAATGTGTTTGTCTTCAGGAAATTACTAAATGTTCCGCCATTTTGTAGTAGGTGAAGATATTGACTTTATATTCCAGGGTTGTGAAGTATTCGTCAGGAGCTTCAAAATGATGTGTCACAAGACGCCACAAGATGGCGTCCAGATGCCATTATGAAAGTTTCATCTGTCAATTTCACTTTAAAATAAAGAAGTCATGCATTAATTTCATAATCCCAAATTTCAATAGGTGTCAGTCCATTTACCTACAACGTAGGTTAGTTGAGACTGGCTTAAACGAATTGTTCTTGTAGATAATCTGATTTATAGCCAGTCTTCAAGTATGCCCACTTACTTTATGTACAGTTTGTTTTCCTCATACGAGGAATTTGGGCAAATTCAAATATGCGGTTACCTCGTTCACAAGCAGATGGGGCGATGAGGAACATGTTGTTAGTCGTTCGCTCCAGCCTAATTCGAGGAATGATACCCTGAAAGAATTCGATTCTCAATTATGGGAAATCATTTACTTAATGTTGATGATACCTTGCACTGACGAGTCGCCAAACAGCCCGAAACCGGTCTGCAAGTGTGTTCCAATGATTGAAAATCGATTGTGGTAGCTGTATCGGCAACAGCATATGCAGGAATAACTTCAGAGAAGAATCCTGAACTGACAACTGTTTGATATATTCAACTCGCGGAGAAATCTTGTTTTTTGTGGCACCTTTCACCAACTTCTAAAAGACTTGTACCAGTTTGAAAATGTCCTTATAGGAGTAATCTGTGGTAACTTTAGTTACAAATAAAGGTGATAAAAACAGAAAGTTTAATTTCTCATCATCAGAACTGCTCGGAAGTGTAGAGATGATAAAAAGTGACAGATTGATTTTCCTGATAGGTATTGCACTGCATTGCTTTGAAAAAACAATTCATGATAATACACCTACTCACTTGTCACTGCTTGTTCGTTATTTTTTGTCCAAAAACAACACCCTAATCATGCCTCAGACACCGTATTCACCAGATTTGTCCCCTTGCGACTTTTTCCGATAGGTAAAACTTTTTCACAAAGAATACCTTTTGAGGGTCTCCAATTCTGATTTCTACTGTTGTTCATCAATTTTATTCATTAGTATTATGTTGATAAAAACTGTCATATATTTCTTAGAAAACGTCAGAAATATATCCTTGAAATATAATGTCTTATTGAGTTCTGCGAGTAAAAATGGTATTATTCGTTTCAATTTGATTAGTTGTTAGTTGTTGTTTACATTTTATTTCAATAATTTGTGATAATGATTACTTTCAGTGAAGTTGTAATGAAAGGGTTATACAAACTATGAATATAATTAAAAAATGAATATAAATTGTCCTTGGGCAGTTTTGTGGCGCCATCTTACAATAGGAAGCTACGTTGTTTCGATGAAGAATGTACCTATAAGTAGATTTCTATAATGATTTTCCCAAGATATTGAATAAAATATGTTTTGTATTCCTCAGTGCCAAAACTAATCATTTTTGTTATAGGCTGA